GGTGTATGCTACAAAACTTAGTAAAAGTGTTAGGTCGCTTTTGCTAATCGAAAACGTTTGTACCCAGGGAACGATCCCATTGACCGTCCACCAAACGACTTAACGACCGAAATTTCACGGTGGGTTATCACCCCAGTTCATTCAGTCAGTCTGATCCATGGGAGACTCACTTCGAAGAGCGTGTCGGACGACCCAAATCCTTGGTTATGCCTCAAAACGGAGGATTTGCACACGAGACTTGCCTCAAGCTGTCAAGCTCCCCTACAGGTATAGAATTTGAACTCACGCCACCCGATATACAACAGCCTGTCCGAGCGCACGCCCTACGTGTAATGGGCCCAACTCCAATTACATAAGAAGGTCGATATTTCTTTAGCTATTACATAAGTAGGTGAAGTGGCACACGGGTAGCGTGTGCCGAGGTGTCATCATCTGATTGGTTGATAGTACTCACTTATTGACCAATCAGGTATCGACATGTGTTTGAGTGGCTCACACGAGGCCAGGGGTAGCCGCCCTGGTCCTCAATAAATCAGAGTTGAACTTGACACAAATCTAAGACTTGCTTTTACTATTGCGAGCTTCCTCCACACTATAGTGTAAGCTAGCGACGGTATCTCTTACCCTGTTACACTACGGGCATACTAGAATTTGACATGCAACAGACCCTACTTAAACCGTCACCTGCTCTAACCTATATTTTATCACAAACCAACACTATTAAGTTATTAGGTTATACAAAAAGTAGTTTTTCTATTGGTCAAAATATGAGCAAGTTGCGCATGAGTTGATCCAAATCACGGGTTGCGCGTGAGTTGATCTGCGCAGAGTTTGACCCAAAAAACATCACTCCGGGAAAGAGACCGGGATTGGATAAAACAGGACTGGGCGAAGGTCACAGGACGGCCAGCTAAGCTTTTTGCTGATGAGACGGATTCGTCGGGTAAGCTAGTAGCTAAATCAAAGCAGGGGCCAGCGCATCTAGCCTCTGGGGTCAATGTGGTGTTTGATACAGTGTGTCTGCGCACTAAATTCTACCACAAAACGCTATGAAGGGAATCTACTTTGAGGAAGTGGTAGGTTATGCTGCGGATCGTGCGTGGCTGAACGATGCCGTGTTGAACTACGCTTTGGACGTCATGACACGCAACCAGATAGGCGCTTATGCACTGTCGTCGATTATGGTCGGCAGCTAGAAGTTTTTGTCTCCACCGCGATCAAAGCTCTTCTCGATGAAGTTCATCGCTAAGCCCGTCAGCATCGAGGGATGTCACAGGACGCACATTGTAGTAGCAGTGCACAGACATGGTGCGAAGGCGGTGTACATGTACGATCCGATATATACCACATCTTACAGATCAGATATGGAGAAAGGACGGAAGAGTAAGATGCTGCCATATCTACAAAAATGGCATTCTCAGTGAACGACAGACGTTATTAAAGTGATGCGGTTAAGGTTGATGTGGATTATCTTATCCAGATCACGCACCTGTAGGGGTGGTCGATAAAGAAGAAAGCTAAACAGATAGGCAAGCAGCTGGCCAGTGCTTTCGCAAAGGAAGTTAACAAAAATCTGGAATTAATTGAAATATTCTGTGTGTTATAGATTTCAATGTCACTTCAACATCAACTCGTATTTTCTTAATGTTGTCATCCTAATCTTGGTTCGAATCGTTTGTTAAACTAAGAACGCCCTCTCGAGACAAGTCAATAACATTGACTGAAGCTTGAGCGGGACAGGCTTGAGCTTGGACAGCTTGAGCTTGGGTCGGTGGACGCTGACCACGCTGCGGCTGCATCCGACACGTTCGGCGTCGCTGAGCGCTCCTAATGCATCTTGGAACGTCCCGAGGGGACATTTTTCTTTGTTTACTGTAAGCGATTGCGTCGAGATCACTCTGCACTATTATCCGACTAAAAGAGTCCGTGTAGGTGCTTCGTGCTCGCTTGGTGATCTCTGCAGTGAAGTGCACTATACTATCGACTAAGAAGAACGACGTTCATTTAGACGACGTTTTATATGACCGACGTTAACATTCAGCAACGTTATATCCGAGCAACGTCAACTTAACTATAGCGGGTTTACTTGTCTTGCATCATCTTGCAGCATTCGGTCAGGAGTACCGATAACGAGGGGGCGTATTTATAGACCAAAGACGCCTCGTAAAACGCCATGGATGACAGCTCGCTCGCACATTTACTTTCTTGGTCCAGCAGATCTTTAAGCTCGCCCTGAACTGCCGCCAGCTTGCGCGTGTACTCCTCCATCTCGACTACACCGTTCACGCTAATTAGTCGTGGTTCGAATATAGTCGTTCGTACTTATAAAGGACAAGACAGTACTATTACCACTTTTAGTCGTGCACCACGTTTAGTCATACACCAGATTTAGTCGTTCAGCTGTTCACAGCCACTCAGTCGCTGTCAAGATCCTGTGCAGCTAATAACTGCCAGTTATACGTATTTTAGCATTGCCCATGAGCACCGACGAAAAGCGTTCTCTGCAGCATGCTGTCGCTGTCAGGGACAGCGTCAAGTTTGTGGAGTAAACGGCTGTGACAGCAGCATTACACGGAGAGAAGGGCCTCCCTGCCAAATCCATCGAAGCCTTTCCAGACTACTTCCGCTCTCATGACCGCCGCGTCAATCTGAACAAGGCCCGAGACTGCTGAAGCAAGCGCCATGCTCTGATGCAACCTGAGGGGGAGCGCCAGTGAAAGTTCGCTCGCAGTAGAACTGGCAACCGTCACCAATTTGTCAAGAAGACAGCTGCCGGGAGGGTCCTAAACTGGGTGAGCATTGGGCCTGGCTGTATTCTATACTATTGTCTGAGTTTGCTCGCTTACGCAAAGCGGGGGTGAAAATGTCATCGCGATTGCCATTCGACATTGTGGTGACTTTGATTGAGGCCAGTGTCCACCCAGTGTACAACAAAGTGTTCCAGTTTAACGGTAAGAACTTTACTAATATAGCTACACCTCGTCGAATCCAAGATTTCGCAGACGGACACAATATTGTTTACCGCCGCCTCACGGGAAAAAAGCAAGTCAGCAGCGAAAAGCAGCGCGTCATCCACGCGTCTGTTGCAGAGCATCTAGATTGTCTAAAGCGTCAATTCGACGACGGTCTCATTGACCCCGATCTGCAATACAACATGGATGAAAGTCATTTCGTTATTGACTTAGATTATGGCAAGACTCTTACTTTCCGTGGCGCCTCCCAGGTCAAGTACGGTAGCGTGGTTTCTGGTAAGTTCAAAATCACTTTTTTTAAAAGTCACTTTTTAAAATATTTATGCGCTTTTTAGGACGCGAAGGGATTACAATGTGTGTGCTTCCTCGTGGCGGAACCAATGCACAAATAGAGTGCCCAATGCTCATCTTCAAAAATAAGAATGCAAATTAACCAATCCAAGGCTTGCCTGATTTAACTCCTGGGGTGGCGTATCGATCTTCGCCTACAGCCTTCATAAACAGCAGTTTGATGCGGCAATGGCTGCATGAAGTCCGTTGTTGGGGTCCAGGAGGACATTTCGTCAATCAGCACTCAGTGTGGATGGACAACGTGAGCGGTCACAGTGGAGACGATGTTGCCGCTGTAGCGAAAGAATTGCGCACAAAAGTGCAGATTTTTTCAGCTGATGCTACAGACCTAATACAACCGGCTGATCGGCTTCCTATTAAACAAATTAAAAAGCACTGGCGACGGCTTTGTGAGCAGCGAAATATGGCTGCAATCCGACGTGAAGATTGGAGTCCGGGTCGTTGCAGTACCCAGGAAAGAGATTCATCTTAGAAACTGCAACAGAATGCGTACGGCTGGTGAATTGTGAGCGAGATAAGAATGGTCTCAACTAGGCTAAGAAGGCCATGCTTATGGGGGGACTCGATGTTGGCTCTCGTGGTTACTGGAAAGTCGATTAGCTTGGCCGAGAAATGTAGGACATCGTCGCTAAATTTCAAGATGAGTTCTAGCAGGGCTACGCGGAAGCTGGGCAGTCGGCTCAGCTTTAGCCTTCTAGGATTCTACCATAAATAGTCATACACCACAATTAGTAGTTTACCTCGATTAGTCGTACATTTTTTGGGAATCTGAGGTCGTACACCACTATTAGCCAGAGGCCGCCTATTTAGCGTGGACGGTGTGGCTTCTCCTGAATCGTTGCTCACTATTTTGGACTCGAGAACAAGCAAGCAGTTGCGCAATCCGCGGGGTCGATAAGGGTCGGGTTGCTTCTCGTGGCCCACACTGGAGTCAGCGGCTGCGCAGTCCTTCAGCGTCTCTAAGTAGATTGTGATCAAAGAAAATTAGGGGTAGTTTAAATGATAGCTATGTCCGGGTAACGATCGTCTACGATTGTCTCTATTTTGGTGAAAATATGTCGTCTAATTTGTTTCACTTCGAAATCCGATATACCAGTAGAAGCCAGCTTAACATCGGTAGTGTTGCGCTAAAACGAAGTTGTAATAGGGTTAAATAACGTCGCATTAACGCCACCCATCCAAACCAGCTACGGTATTTGCGCGAATCCCAGCCCAAATAGCGTTTTGAAGTCGAGCACGGCCTAAGGTTCGCATAGCGAGCTTAGCGTGTACTGAAGAGCTGTACATTGCTAAATTATTTAGCAACTTGTTATTGTGCGTTCTACTCGAACTTTCCGACGTGTCAAATGGCCGCGAAATCGACGTGATTGGGCAAGTAAAACAGGGACTGTATAAGTACGAAAAAGGATTTACTTTAGTTAGGATTGTACATGCGGCGCCATATGTTTTGGAGCTGGACGATTTCCTTGAGAATTGTAAAGGACATGTCAGTCGATATTATTAAAAAAAAATCCATACTGGGGATTAAAAACAATTAATTCCCACGGGCGGCAAATTTGGTCAGAATTTACAATACATGTAGTACTGCTAATAATTGCAAACACCGGACAGTCAGAGTACTGGATTGCTTCAGTTTTTTAAAAAAGCTTCACTCATCGATGGATAGCCGTTTCAACCATGAGCATCGACAGCAAACAGCTAGGCGACAGTGACGCATCGACGGCGTCCACCGCTGAGTGTGCGGCCAAGCGCGCCGAGGTGCAACGACTGAGGGAGCATCTGGACAAGATTCAGGCCGGGGAAGACGACGAAGATGCGCTGCTGCTGCTGGCGCTCGCTCAACCCGTGGGCACGACTGACCCGCTCTCGTGTTTCTGCTGCTGTAAGTTCCAGCGTGTCGGACATAGCTACGTAAGTGCACGAGTAGATGAGTTAAGTAGCGTAAAGGTTAACGCAAACATTCTGCAGATCCTCCATGAACGACGTGTAGTCTCTGCTGATGGTATCGTGAAGACCAAGCTGGTGATTGTAGGCCCGCATTGGATCGGAGTGTTGGTCACGTTGGTAATTATCGTGGTGTCTACGGGCTTGTTCCTCTCTCAACATGTGAAGACTATGGCGTGGTATAACACGCTGATCACGCTGGGACTCTGCAGCGTGACGCTGTACTATCTGTTCCAGACAACATGCACAGATCCGGGTATTATTCGTCCATCGAGACAGAACGACGTCTTGCAAACAGAAGACGAGAGTGAAGCCATAGGGCTGGAAGCTGGGCAAGCTCCAGCAGCTGAAGGGGCGATGCTTTCTGCTGAGGCTTTTGGCCCTCGCCGCCCATCACGGCGTCGATATTGCGATATCTGCGGCATCGAACAGGACCGTTCAACGGACCATTGCGAGGACTGCGGCGTGTGTATTGCCGGATACGATCACCACTGTCCGTGGATGGGCAAATGTATCGGTCGAGACAACATGTACGCCTTTAAGATGTTCAACGTGGCGTGGGTTGTGTACGTTTGCTTCGTGCTTTTCATCTCCATATTAAGTGTCGACTGGGGGCATGCTGCAGTACAAGCATTCAAACGTACAGCGTCAGGAGCGTGGGTGCCAACACAGACACAAAGCCCATAGACACGATAACTAGAGCGTTAAAGGATTGCAAATACATAAATTTTGATTGTTTAGTTGGCCGAGCCGTTCACAGCTTGTTTCTTCTGTTTGCTTTTCTTGCGCTTCTTCTTCTGCGCGGTGCCCGTTGGAGTGACAGAGTTTGAAGCTGTAGTGGCAGGAGTCTCGGCTTGCTTGGGCTTCTTGTCTTCCTTCTTGGCAGGTGTCGTAATCGAGGACTTGACTTTCTTCTCCGACACTTCCTCTGAGTCACTAGACGATGGAGAAACCTTCACGAAATAACAAGAAAATAGTCAGTATTTACAGTCGATACTAGTCCAGGTTCACTACACATGCAAATGATATGGATGTTGCACAGTTATGACTCGTATGATTCCGACAGGAAAGACCACAAAAGCCTTTTACAGACGCAATAGACAGGCGCCACTTAAATTGCCACCTCGCCGGAGCAAACCTCCCCCATAAACTCCGCCGCTCCCCTAAGAGAGCAGCAGTCGTTTGGATCACAGCCGCACCCAGCACAATGAGACAGCCACAGCACCTCGCCCTACGTCCGCACGGAGACAGCCTTAAGGACCATGCGTGAGTATTGAGACGAGAAGAACTCTCGTCATAAAAGCATACACTTTCCTATCCCATCTGGTCTGGACCCCCATGATATCGATGAAAGGACCACGGGGGTAATTTACAGATGGGAGAATAAACTCTTCATACAATCCTACGGTTCTCTTCCCCGTACTCACCTCATCCCAGCTCTTCTGAGCCTCCTTCTTCTCCTCACGAGCACGCTTCTTGCTCTTCTTGGGGGCTTCTGAAGGCATTGATGTCTCCTCCTCCTCCAGCAGATCGACTAAAGGGCCTGGCTGGAAGTATCCGCTAAGGTTCACGATACCAGAGCCCTTGGCCAAATAGAACTTGACCTTGTGGCCGAAAACCAGGTCCAGCTTGACCTGCAGAGGCTGCTTGGCGCCTAAATGAGCCACTGCATCCTTCCAGACCTTGCCATCAAGCTGCTGTGTCTCTAGACCTAGCGCGACCTGCGCATCGACAGAGGATGCGCCGCACGTGGCGTTCACCACGTTGAGCACGAAGCCCTCGGGCACATCAACAACCGCCGCCTTGGTCTCGGTCACCTCGCATCCCCAGAACGCGACCATGTTTGGTAATGAAAAGGTTTCTTGACTGGAGTGGAGCGACTGCCTCGTTTCTGACCAATTAGAATGAGTGGTGCGGAGGATGGTGTGTTGTACATGAATATGTGACGTGTGCACGTTGAAGCTGTTGAAGCTTGCGAGGATTACGCAAAAGTGGCGCGTGCTCCCGGACTCCGGACTCCGGGCCGGAGACCAAGCTCGGATGGGGGTCGTTTGTCGTATGCAGCGTCTGTGGTCAACATATTTGCTAACGCGGCAACGCAGGTTTGCCAATTTGCAAGTGCTCCACGAGTTTCAGTTTTCGTTTTCGTTTTCGCCAACATTACGCATATCGAAAATGAAGTTTACCTTTGTCTTTGAGGCTGCCATCGCTATTGCTTCCGTCAACGCCGCCAGCATAGGGATTCCCATTGATCTCCCGACCGGTTCGGCACTAGGCTCAAGCGACGCACCGACACAGGCCTCGTCTTCTGCAGCCCTTGATTTCATCAAATGTCCCGATGCATGCCTGGATGTGTACTCCCCCGTCATCGGCGACGACGGCATCTCATACCCGAATGAATGCTCCATGCAGATGGCGAAGTGCAAAAAGAGCGGCAAGAAAGATGACTGGTATGCAAGCTACAAGAAGCTCTACGGCTCCCGTCACTCGGAAAACGATGAGCTTTTATCTGCTCTTCGTGGTAGCAAGAAGAACGGCGAAACGCCGGGCGATGTGTCCACAGACGTTTAGAATCGTCTTTAGGATGACCTAAAGCGGTTGATTGCTCCGTGTGTAAAGCAAAAATAACAAGCTTTGATGTTCATTTATTCTCCTGGCCGTATCCTCGTGTACAGTACCACATTGACTGCCTTGCATTTTTTCCATTGACCTCAGGCAAGTATTCTCCTCATTAGTACTTCGTTTTGTAAAAGCACCTCCTGGAAATGTTCAGTAGCAAAAAAAAGCAATCGCTTGAGTGTTTTATCAATTGATGTACCAGCGTAATATTAATCTTAATGGTAAAACTATCGAGTATTCTCTGCGTACGATATCATTTTGGATGGGACTTGTTTTATCGTAGGCTGGAGTCAGTGGTCAACAATTTTGTAAGTGCTGCAATGACGCCTTGGCAATTAACAAGTAGCCTTCGAGTCCCAGTCTTCGTTTTCGTCTACGAAACGCACATCAAAATGAAGTCTATTGTTGGTCTCGTTGCTGCTTTCTTCGCTATCACTTCTGCGAGCGCTTACAGTCCCGGGAAAGTCACCGGCTCCGTCGTTGACCACTCCACCGACTCGACGTCAGGTTCAATGGATACACCGACGCAGGCTTTGTCCGCATCGGGTTCTTCGCTATCAGCCGACGTTGACGATATGGATTGCGCTGGAGCATGCATGCAGGTGGATGCCCCCGTTTTGGGCGACGACGGCATTTGGTACACGAATGCGTGTGAGATGCGGATGGCGAAGTGTGAAAAGAGTGGCAAGAAGGCACGTACGCAACGAGAAGCTCTACGTCTTGCGATATGATTGAAGACACTCATGTGTCCATTTATCCTGTGTGTAAGCAAAAATTACTTTGCGTACCTTTTGTAATCTTATGGCCATATCCCGTCGCGTGCAGTCATTATCTGCATGATACCGGCATGTACTACGCTTCATTTCTCGCACCTCAAACTGCTAGCAACAGGCGGATTTGCGCACAGGTATGAAGAGAGCGCACCCACAGGCAGCATGACTGCGATCGTATTTATAAGGTGGCCTTGGACAAAATAATTTGAAGCACGAACCACTTCTGTCGAAAAGGAATGTCGCCGCAGTCGACGGACTGTCGCTGTTGCAGTAGTAACACAGAGGCTCTGTGTGGCGACTCGCCATGACTTGGTATCTAAACGATTTCAACCCGATGCTCAAATATATGCTAATCTGTGACGTGTGAGCACGTTGAAGTTGCAAGCCGTTTTTTGTCTCCTCTTCCAACGCCGGTAAAAGGTGTCCAAAAGGTTTTTGATAGCGTTTGAAATGTTGTAATGGCCTCTAGCGTCATCGGTGAGTGTGGCCTTTCCGGTTCATGTGAATCAGGCTACGCAACCTCGCCGACTACAAGGTATCGTGAAACCAGCAGCACGAACAGCAAAGTTAGCTGGAAAGTCCGGTGAACAAACGTGCGTTTTCTAAAATCAATAAAGTGGGTTCAGGCACGCACCCATGTTTGTCTTCAGATGCCTCTACCAAATGATAGAGCACACACCGTCAGTGCAAGCTTCGTCATTCTCCATTTTGCTACGAGCTACACAAGTCCCCATCGCCTAAGCTGCTCCATTATGAAGCTCGCCGTGTGCCTGCTACTCGGTGCCGTCGCAAGTACAAAAGCGGACTATGGGTCATCGTCGGGGCTCACCATTTGTCCGTCCCTGTGCACGGATCTGTTCGCACCTGTGTGCGGTTCCGACGGTGTCACGTACTCGAACGACTGTTATCTGCTCCTCGCAGACTGCGAAAGCGCAGCGAGGATCACCAAAGTGTCCGATGGAAAATGTCCCACCTCTGGTTCTGGATGCTCGGGCGTGTGTCCTAAGATACTCAAGCCCGTATGTGGCTCTGATGGGGTCACGTACCCGAACGAGTGCTTACTGGGAGTCGCCGACTGTGAATGCTCTGATGACATCACCAAAGCTTACGACGGAGAGTGCCTCACTGAGACGACGCCGTCCTCGACTGATGGCAGCGAAGAATGCAACGACGTGTGCCCCGAGAACTTCCAACCTGTCTGTGGGTCGGACGGCGTAACCTACTCAAACGACTGCACCCTCGAATATGCCCAATGCACGAGTGGCGGTGTCATTACCAAAGTGTCTGAAGGAGAATGTTCCTCATCTGGATATGGCTCTGGCTGCTCGGAAGTTTGTCCCGAGGTATTTGAGCCCGTATGTGGTTCTGATGGGGTCACGTACTCCGACTCGTGCTTCCTCGGGATTGCTACCTGCAAGGACCCGAGCATCGTGCTGGCTCATGATGGAGCTTGTGGCGTCGACCCGGGAAGCTACGAGATGGGCCCTTCGACCGATTCCAGCGAGAGTACCGGCTGCCCCGACGTCTGCATCGAGATATTTAGACCTGTCTGCGGTTCGGACGGGGTCACTTACGCCAACTCGTGCTTCCTTGGTATCGCTAGCTGCCACGACCCCAGCATTACCTTAGCTCACAATGGAGCTTGCGGTTCCACTGGTGGTGAAGGCAGCTACGCGACGACCAACCCTCCGACTGACTCGAGTGAGAGTACGAGCTGCCCCGATGTGTGCATTGAGATCTTCAGGCCTGTATGTGGCTCTGACGGTGTCACGTACGCCAACTCGTGTTTCTTAGGGCTCGCCAGCTGCGAAGACCCGAGAATCGCTCAAGCCCACGAGGGACCTTGCACCACTTATGGAGGGGGCTACGAGACAGACAATTCGACTGACTCGAGTCAAGAAACCACCGAAGCTTCCTCATGCCCGGACATCTGCCCCGCCATCTACGCTCCTGTGTGCGGCTCAGATGGCGTCACTTACAGCAACGAGTGTCTGTTGAACATCGCTAGCTGCAACCACCCAGAGCTTAAGCTCACGAAAGCTTCCGATGGAGCTTGCTCGCCAGATGAGTGCAAAACCGCTTTCTAGACGAAAGCTGGTGGTATCAAGGTTGCATATTAGTGATCTTTTCTCTTGTTTCTCTATAAAAATCAATGTCAAAAACTTCACGAATGTTGCGCTTTGGCACGCCCTTTGTTTGCAAAAGTGGCAAAACTTGGCAAAGTTCCTCGTTTTGCTTTTCGCACTTGAGTTTTGTGTTCTAATCGACGACGACGATAAGCTGCTTGAAGACGCAGAACGGAAGCGTATGCGAAACTCTCGCGGTAGGACTCGAAGACGCCATGTTCTGGTGGAGTGGCAGACGTCTTGTAGTGTCTGATGCTGTAGTAGTATCTCGTCTGTGTGCGTGTGTCGAGACACTCGACCCATTGATCTTGATCCAGCAATTGTGCGTGAATCTTTAACTTGCCACGTCGCTCCAGTTCGAGTCTCGTGGATACATCTGCTTGTAAGGTCTCAGCTATAAGTTCTCGAATGACACTCGGGATTTTCTTCTGCGCAACGTGCGCTCCATCGAAGTCTTGTGGTCGATCAAACGTGATAGACTGATACAGTCGGTTGTAGAAGTAAGCGACACCGTCTTCAGATTCACAGCGGAACCACACGTTCTCTTTTGGCGTACGTTTCGGAGGTGTCACGAGCTTTCGCACTGCTTCGTAGCCGTGGAACTCAGGTAGGCAATGATCCAGCATGTGTAGATAAGCCGCACAGGCTCCAGCCCAGTCTCTTAGCCTTGCGTAAGCAGGTAAATGATGCCAACAACGATGCTCTAGAGGAGCTACATGTCTCGTGATCTGAAGTAGTTCACAGACTCGGTCGAGGTTTGACACGCTTAATGCGTACGGTTTGGTGAAGAGCCCTATCGGTTCGTTGTGTGTCATCCACTCCCAGCCGCTTGAATGAGCCTCAATGTTCTTGACAATCCAGAGCCCCCAACAAGCTCGCCACATGTCTTCATCGCTAAGCTGAGACGGTAGTGGCACATCGAAGAGCAGTAGAACAGCCTCGACCACCGACACGATCGCTCTGTGGGGTGACATATCCCAGGACAGCGGATCAAGGAAATGCTTCTTTGGCTGCCCCTGAAGAGCTATAATGCACTCATCCACACGCGATACTACTCAAATCAGCGATCAGTGAGCACAATACGCACAGCCGAGAGTGATATAAGGCCCGTACCGATGTTGGAGGCATCCACGAAGCCCCACTCGGGGTCGAGATATTGCGTTTTGGCGCTGACTTCACGTAACAGAAGCGACGTCCACGTCGCTTCGTTGCCGTCCTCGTCTTGTGCTACAAGAGCCAGTAGACGTTGATAAACTGCTCTCTCGGCATCATTTTCGGGGCCATCTTTGTGAAATGACCGTCGCCACACAAGATGCACCAGCTCGTTCCGCGGTTCTTCTTGACGAGAATCTGTTTCTTTAGCGAGCTCCATCCTTTGGAGCTAAAGCTTGGCAACGAACTTGCACAGCAAAGAACTTTATTCTTGGCGACTACAGACCGTGTATTTTCAGCTCAAAATGAGTGAAAAGTTAACTCTTCTTTGCCTGCTAGATCTGCGCAACAGAGCTAATCGTTGATGTGTTCGCTTGTGGGGCAGAAGGCGAGGTGAAGGCCATGGCTGGACGCGCAAACAGGCAACAGTGATGAACATGAAGCGTGTTTGGGCTCCACCACGGGCTCCAACTATCTAGCATTTGACTAGCATCATCGAATTTAGTCCACAACGACTCGAGCTCCACCGCCATTGTCTTTTCCTGTGGCGTAGGCACCAATTGTTGCAACAAGCGCTCGAGCCTTGAGCAGCATTTCGTCGTACTCATCATCGCTATCAGAGAGTGCTACAATAGCGCCGCCAGCTCCAAGTGTCACGCTGTTTGGAGTCACGATGGCTGTGCGGATAATGATGTTCAAGTCACAGCTACCATCGATCGATAGGAAGCCCAGTCCGCCAGAGTAAACGCCACGCGGGCCACGTTCAAGTTGTCGGATAATGTGCATCGTGCGTTTCTTGGGCGCTCCAGTCATAGAACCACCGGGGAATGTAGCGCGTAACACGTCCACAACATCCGCGTCTTGACGACGCTGAGCACAAACAGTGGTGACCAGCTGATGTACAGTGGCGTAGGTCTCCACGCCCATAAGACGCGGTACATGTACGGATCCGACTCGAGCGACGACACCAAAGTCGTTGCGTACCAGATCGGCGATCATCATATTCTCAGCACGGTCTTTCTCACAGCTGGCAAGTTCCTCGGCAATAGCTGCATCTTCGGTCGAGTCACGGCCACGAGGACGTGTTCCCTTAATGGGTTTGGACTCCATCCAGCCATCAGCTCCCACCCTTAGGAATCGTTCAGGAGACGAGCAGCACAGCGCGTATGTGTCTTGTGTATCAGCTCCACTAAAAGCGTTTGGCGTCTGGAAGCGATTCCGTGGGTTACTCACGTAGAAACCAGCGAATGGAGCAGGATTTCGGCGGCGCAACATACAGTAAAATGCCAGTGGATCTCGTAAAGCATAATCAGCTCGCAAGTGGTTGGTTAGACACACTTCGTAGGTCTCACCTGCACGGATCAAACGTTGGATCTCCTCAATATCAGCCACGTATTGAGCGCGGCTTCGTGATGGACGGAAGATCACTTCTTCTTTGCTAGAAGCGCTAGAAGACAGCGGCGTGCAAGCTCCAGGCTTCTCGTTGAAAGTCTCAGATAGCTGCTTCAGTCTGCTCTTGATTGTTTCATGCCACATCTGGCTAGCACTTTCGCTTTCGGCCTTGCAGTCGGCTAGTGACAGCGAGTAGATGACGTCGTCCCGGTGGTCGAATACCAACGTACGGTCGGTAAACAAAAACGACGCGTCTGGAGCACGCTCTCCTTGTACGTGGACCTTGTCGTTGAACAGCTTCTTACCCTCTTGTTCGCTTCCCAGCACTTCGTATCCAAAGTAGCCCACAAAGCCACCGCGGAAGGCAAACGGAAGCTCGTCACCATCGCTAAACACGACTTGATGAGATCGGTGTGCTTGCATCACTTCGCGCACGTGAGTCAAGATATCTTGTCCTGGATACACCTTCACTTCCTCTGCATCACTGACGAGACGTCGTAGGCGAAGCTCCACTTTGGCGACGTCGTATTCAACACAGTAGCTCAGAGGCCCGCTGTCGTCGCCCATCATAGAGCACCGCGACTGAGTTGCTGCATCAGTACCAGCCACTGTATCGTGGTTGCTACTATCCAACCAGAACGACCGCTTCGAGGCTCCATAAAGCTCACCAAACACAAATTCCGCAAACTCGAGCGATGCGACTCCCGCCGATGCACGCTGGATCACAACGCGATAGTCGAGCACGTTCGTCGACTTTTGACCGCTTTCAACATGCAACGCGGCGCTCTGTTCGGGGTGGTTGCTATGGTGCAGCTCGCACTTTGTCGCGCATTGAGCCAGCGTCACATCCCTGAAATTCTGGAAGAGCTGGTAGCCGAACTCACTGCACACGGCCTCGGGATGGAACTGTACGCCGAACTGCTGCTTGGTACGATGGCGAACGGCCATGATAACGCCATCCTGCGTCGAGGCAATCACCTCGAGCTCTTTTGGAGTATTTTGAGGGTCAATTACCAACGAATGGTACCGAACCACCTGAACCCCGTTCGGAATGTGGGTGAATAGAGAGCTGTCTCCTTCGATAAACACACGACTGGTGCGTCCGTGCATGACCTCGTTGGCCTCGACTACTTGTCCACCATAGACTTGAGCCAGTCCCTGATGTCCTAGACACACACCCAGCACTGGCACCGTAGCGTGTCGAATAGCGTCGGCACACATTCCAAAGTCCTTACGTTCTGACGGATGGCCTGGGCCAGGAGAGATGACCACGTTGAACTCCAATTCCACGTCTTCTTGAGCGGTAATCGCAGTCGTTTGGGCCACGAAATGGCCCCATGCAGCGTCGAACCGACCGTCGAAGTCGTCGTTCTTGATGACTGTGACACTGTTTGGAGTTCCGTTCACTTGAGCCAGCATCTGCATGATGTTGTACGTGTACGAGTCGTAGTTGTCGATGAGTAGTGAGACCACTCGACGAGGCTTCTTGGGGCTTATTGAGGCCTGTGTGGCCGACACAGGGGTAGGAACGTCGTCCATGGACGCCACCATTGCGGACAGCGAGAGGTAAAGCGAAATGCTCGCGGCACGCAACGTCAGAAACTTGTCAAAAGGTTGTTTTAGCCAATAGGGGATGTGGATTCTAATTTTCGACCAATGAAAGGAGGATGTCACTGCGTGCGTGGCCAGGAACGTGCTATTTGACTGGCTGAAAACATAGCAATGTGCGTGCTATTGCATGTGACTACGGTATAAAACTATGGTACGTCCGCTGTAGAGGAACCCATCAAGCGTCGTCCTCCTGGCTCCGGTTCTTGTTCCGGTTCCGACGTCGTCGCTTGAGTTGGCTCTTGGACAGCTTCACCTCGCCGTCGTCCTCTTCCTCGCCGCTTTTCTTGCCTGGTTTCTGTTTGATGCGTTTGCGCTGGAAAGAACTGGGCAGCGGGATGTCGTCGTCACCAATAGCTTCGCGTTTGCGCTTGCCAATACGTACGAGCTCCACCTCGAAGAAGAGCGTCGAATTGGGCGGGATCTTGTCTCCTTTGCCGCTCTCACCGTAGCCCAGTTCCGATGGAATTGTGAGCAATCTTACACCTCCAGGACGCATCGTACCGAGTCCTTCTTCCCATCCAGCAATGACAGAACCCGTACCGTACGTTGTGGTGAGCATTCCTTTGCCAAACACAAGACCATCACGTCCGAGACGTCCACGGTACTTGACTGTCAGCATCTCGCCGGCAAAAGGGAGTTTGCCCTGTCCGATACGCTGATCCTGAAGCACTAGTCCACTCTTGGTCGTCACTTCGCTGCCCACGTTCTCCTCATACGCCGAGGCCAGCACTTCTCGACTTTTCATCTCGTGTTCCTGCTCTTTGGTTTGTTGTTCTGCCTGTTCCATGGCTTCCTGTTTCTTCTCCTTCTTTTTTTGCTTCTCTTTTTTACGCTTCTCCTTCTTAGCTTCAGCCTCTGCTTGCTCTTTCTCGGTCTCCGTCTCCTGCGTCTCGTTTTGACTCTTCTTCTCTTGTCTCTTTCGCTTCCTCTCCTCTTGCTTCTCAATCTGCTGCTGCTCTTTCAGCATCTGTTCTTCTTCGTGACGTTTCTTGGCCTCCTCGGCTTCTTTCAAAGCCTCCTCAGCCGCCTGCTTGGCTGTCAGTCCCTGCTTCTTGAGCTTCGCCTTGCGCTTCTTAAGCTGCGCGCGACTGAGACCCAGTACGGGCTCCTCGTGCGTCAGTTCGTGGGTCATATCGCCCTCCTCCATGCGGTCTTTAGCACACAACTGGGAGAACAGATCGCCCTCCTCCGTAGAGTGCCACGGGTGGTCCACGCCCCACGTTTTGTCCGCGCGGCCATAGCCGCCTACACTCACGCGCATGTCAGCGGCGAAGCGGCCCGTACGCGCACCGCCCAAAGAGCGCACGCCCTTATTGGCCACAATGGACGAGTCGCTGGCCACAATGATCTCCTCGGCCTCATTGCCGCGCCGCTTGTCGCGGCGACGCATGAGCACCATGATGCTCCAATTGATGTGGCTGTGGCTGGCTAGGAGGTTAAGCTCGTAAATGAACGCTGATTGGCTGAAATACAGCAAGTTGAAGTTTTAACAAGTACTATTCCTGGGTGATCAAGTTGAACCGGAAATTGCACATTGGCTTGCTGGGTTCTTAGTGGAAATGGTTCGGAGCAGCACCTCCGCCATAGTAGTCCCCACTGCATCTGAAGAAGCAAAGAGCGATGTTTCTGCACCATCTGTAGCGGAAGTCCAATCGCAGCAGTATCTCCAAGCTGCGTTCCACGGACATGCTCCCACTGAAGAACACTCTGAACAATCACGTTCTGAAGCACCAGATCACGAACCTGGCCCTCCAGCAATCGGTAAATCCTTACGGCAACGCTCCCAATCTGCAGTCGTACAGAAACAACATGCCGTGGAGCTTTCTAAACATTACACGAAGCTTGTCAAAGATTTCCGCCAACTACAGCCATTTACACGTCGCCCTGATGGCACATACCCAGCCGACACCCTGTGTGTCTACTGCGCCAACACAAGACCTACATCAGTCTTCTTCCCTTGTCGGCACATGTGCGTGTGCAACGACTGCATCAAGTCCAGCAAAATCTCCACAGATGAGTTGTCATCAACAAACTGGTGGTAAGCTGATCCCCACCCTGCGATAACGTCTCTCTTGCTCCAGTTTTTAACTTTCTACGATCTTGTAGCGCATGTCCAGTGTGTATGGCGGACATCCGACTTATCTTGCCCCACTCAGGCAAGGAAGAAGAGCGCTATTGGCGCTGGGCTCTAGAGATCAAGCCGAATCTACCATCGCACTTTAAGCGCGAGTTCAAACAAGCTGGGAAGCGCTTGAATAGGAACGCGTCTCCAACACGAGGCTCCAGAAACTCGTTTGTAGCCATGTTTCGACGCGAATCAACATCACCAGAAGCCCCTAAAGACCCCTTTTCGAAGGCTAATATCCCCGAACTTGAACGTCGCCATTCGTGGGAGCCAGGTGAAGTGGCAGCAGCTCAAAATGTGGCAGCATCCAACGAACAGGAAGAAGCGCGCAATTGCTCGATATTGTGAAAGAAAACCTAGAATCTTCCTTGATAACAACACAGTATTAACCACTGACGATCAATAGAACCACTGGCGGGTCTACGCGTTCCTGCCTAGAGCGCCGTTGCCGTAAAAATATTCGTGAGTGCTCAACGCACCCCCAGTGCTGTCATTTGCGTCACCATTGGCTGCAGCATTCACAGCAGCAGCTACAAGAGCTGATTGTTTACCACGTTGAATACGGCGCAATCGTCGCAGTGCTCGCGAGATGCTTTCCATCGCCTGACCAGCTGCTTCATCACCGTAAAACTCGGCCACATCCGCGTTATCCAGCGCTTCCTCTGCCCCGGCAAGTGCACGCAGAGCTAACTCGATGGCTTTACGCTTTTCTGCCTGCACCACATTCGGATCCATCGTCAGTACTGGCGCAGCTGTACGATACACATACGAGCCTGATTGACTCGGATCAAAACCGGTAGACAGACTAGTGGCATCCATGAAAGCTGCCGCGTTTTGCTGCTGAAACGATGGAACTTGTTGCTGGAGGCATTGGTTACTGCTCTGTTGCTCCTGCTCCTCTTCTTGTAGCAACTGCTGGATGTCGTACAGCAACTCTTGTTGCATTTGTTCACTGGAATCATCGTCGACACAGAGCCAAAGACGGATATCTTTGGCCAGTTTGTTCATATCATCGACAAGATTTAAGTTACGCAGCATTGAACAGCACTCCATCACCACAGCGTCATCGTTCTGCTCCCGAGTAATCAGCGAGTCAGGAGAAATGATAGAGGTATTGCCCAAGTTGGATTTGATCCAGCCACTTCGAATAAGTGACGGGGGGATCGCAGCCCACGCCTCGTTTAGTAAACTCATGGCGTCAAGAAGGTTCGGGACGCGTCCGAGAGCGACACCTGCAGTACCCACTGGCTTCTTAGCTGCACGTTGTATCAGTCGATACTTCTCGTCGTTTGGCGTCTCAATGAAGTTCAATCGCTCTTGGAACAGCCCAATCTTGTAGCGTCGCTTGAAATCACGAACGACAGTAGCATGAGGGGGCTGGAACGCGTTCCCCTTGGCCAGGTGAGCATGCTGCTGACTCGAAAGATTCACTTCGCAGCCCCCACTGCTTGTACGCAACGGTAGAAACACTGTGGACACATTTTCTTGCTGGAATCCAGCAAGACGACCTCCTGGGTTCTCTGTTATGAGCAGCACAGGTTGTGTAGTGCGTTGACGGACTGCTGGGAGGAATACACGTCCACACCAATGCTGGAACGTGCGATCACTGCACCAAATGTCGCGCTGGCTATGGTAAGATGCACCTATTCCAGCAGCGCTGTTGACACCACCACGAAGAAGCTGCGGGTGTAACGCAGCTAAACAAGCAGGCACTTTCTCCTTCCCTACAACCAGCAACGGGATTTTATGTGTACCCGTTGCATTCACACACACTAATACCAATACACGTGCAGCTTTCCCCGGCGCTCCATTCCTCTCCACAGCATCAGCTATCATCCCCGTCGTCTCTTGACTGGTTCCTAAGTGTTCCGGCACCACATCCAGAGCTCTGGGCAGCATTTGATAAAACAGCCGAGCTTCACTCAGCGTATACACGAATTCGGGACCAAACTGCTTGATTTTGTCCCGGAGATTGGTCCATTCACGGGTCGTCTCGGCCCCCTCCTTCTTCATCTCCCCCGTAGAACTCTGCTGTGTCTCGTCACCGGGTGATGTAGAATTCCCTGTATGCAGTGAGGCTGGAGAGAGGCCGTATCGGTTACAGAAGCGGTAGTACCATCCGTTGGAAGCTTTAAAGTCCTCCTTCATCTTATGTCGCGTGGCCAATAATTTGGCTTTCGACTGGACGTGCGACACCAGCAGCGGCACTTTACGCGCCCGGACGCTACAGATCCAGCGAAACAATTCGTCTTCGAACGGTACATTCTTGGAGAAGCCGCCGCGCTGCCTCTTGTCGCGGAATCCACTGGAATCCGCACCTGCATCCGAGTAGCGCTTCTTGACCGATTGACTGACCTTCATGAGTTTACTGATGGCTGCGGGCGTCACACCATGCTGGCGAGCACACTCCGCTTTGGATAATTGGCTAGAAGGGTCCTCTAAACGTGCGATAATCTCCATACGCTCGCTATCTGTCAGCCGCTTGCCGCGGCCTTTGCCCACCATAGTCGACATGGAATGCGGTGGCAGTTGGGCCCGAACCCGGGTTTTGCGGGTTTGGGACGAGTGTAGCCATTGAGCAGAATGTAGCCATATGTTTTTTTGTCTTTTGAAACTCTTAGGTGCTGACGCTGCTAGCATTGCGTTTCTGGCCGATGGTGGAGGGTTTTACCTCTGTAGGTTGAGATGGGATGGATGCAGAAGGCTCGATGACGTAGATGCCACCGCCTAGACCACCGATGCTCACCATGTGCTCGGCCACAACGCGGCAGGGTAGATCCTTGACAGCTCCCTTGAACAACTTCTTGGACATCACCAACAGCACAGCTCGACCATCAGGACGTAGAATACGGAGTAGCTCTTTGAACACTTTCGGATACATCTGAACGTCGAAAATGGGACGCAATGAGGAAAACTTGCGTTAGATACGTAATTAAATATCACGGAACAGCGAGGTAGCTGTGTACCTTGTTGTTTTGGCGTTGGTTGCCACAGCGAACGCCAAACGGCATGTCGATCATCACTCGGTCGACACTGTGGCTGCGTAGAGGCAACCGTGTGCTGTCCCAGCGCGCAATATCCACGGGTCGTGGCCGAGTAACCGCGTTCTGACCTGCTTTGCCCGACGGAAGCTCATCCAGCTCGCCTCCAAGAGCATACACTCCGTCGTTCGTGAAATCAGCCGAACAGATTGGAAGAGTGCCGATTCCACACATTGAATCTAGTACTACATCACCATAGTTGTGCTTTGCGAGCTGTAGCATGAGGTAGGCAGTGCTAGGACGCAGCGTCGAAATGTAGTCGCTGTCTGCTAATGCACTGCGACTCTCGTTCGCCAGTCGATTGCGGAACTGAATCTTACGTGGGTCTGCCAGTGCAATGCCAGCGACCATGAACTTATAGAAGATGATCACCACCACCTCCGCGTCGAACTCTGTCAGGTTCACAGTCCAGCCGAACTTTTCCACCACTCTCGCACCAACTTCTCCCGCAACAACTTGCGAGTTGTACTTGTGTTTGCCATCGCGCACACATGAGCCTCGAAATTTGATCTCGTTGTCCTCTACTGGACGTACAGAGTGCTGTTTCCACAGCTTCACAGCCGAGTCCCAGTCAGCATTCTGCACCAATTGCTACATCAAATGTATCCGTCAGCTCAGAACCTCTTACTATCAGTTTTAAGCATGAACCCACCCCGATCTGCTTCACACCAGCGTCACTCTCCGTGTCGATATCATCGCTCTTAGCCAGCAACGCAAGTGTCGCCTGCACGGACTGTAGTTCCTGGACTTTTGCAGCCGACGACTTTGTCTGCAGGATGATCCTTCCCACAGCCGCTTGGCCCTGTAGCACCTGCATGTAAGGCGGTCGTGGGTTCTCCTGCACACTGCATATCTCCAGACTCTCCACCTGCAGTTTGGATCGGATCTCTTCCTCCACCAGGAACTCCAGTCCACGCAACACCAGCAGCAAATACGTTGACACTTCCGCCATCTTTGTCTACCACTCACGTGAAATTTGTTACAAATCGCAAGTGATTCGCCGTTACAAAAATATTGCAACTACATCTTCGAAAAAATCGCAATTAGAGCTTTAGCTCGTACCGGCGAGATGGACCCGTCCAAGCTGCCGCTGTTCGCGCGTGGGCGAAGTATGTTGAGCGAGGCGCTGTCTCCGACCACAAGACGTCGATTCGCCGGATTTTTAGAGCCCGGAACGCCGTCCGAGGAAGTCCAGAGTCAATCTCCGTTCTCCCTTTCTCAGACTTCAAACCCCGCGTCGCCCTTGAGGCGTACACCGTCAATACGGCGTCGATCGGCGCTGTCCGACGAAGATTTCGACGGTGACAAAGCGAAAGACAGGACTCTGGTGCGAATTCAGTGCAATTCACGACCTTTCCAGGTGCGATTGGCGCTGGAAAAGGGTCAGATCGTGGTGCACGGATTCGACCGCAGCGTTGACAAGGGAAAGATAGGACCGCCGGGAGATGTGGAGAAGTCAGGACTTGTCCAAGTTGGCGATGTCTTGGTGGGCGTGAACGGACAGATGAGGAGATTCTCGACGCTGGAGATGGCTCAGATGACGCTAGCGAGTGTGGAGATGCCGACGGTTTTGATGTTCCGACGCGTGCTGGTGACCAAGGGAACGCTCGGTGAATACACTGACAAGCACATTGCACGGTATTTAGTGCTGCAGGACAGTTTGTTGGTCAGCGTACGTGGCGTTCAGGAAGCGGCATTGCTGGTTCAAGCGTGCATTGAAGTTTTTGGGGAGAGTAAGTCGACCGTATCGCTAGAAGACTATATCGACCACGTCGAGCATGTGGTGCTGCCGTCGTTGGGTATTTTATCGACAAACACTGCGAGTGACAGGAAGCAGCAGTTTGAACAGATCAAACAGGTTATGGAGACGATTCATCAGCGTGTAGACGCTCGGAAGAAGAAGCAGGTGAAGGCGTGGAATGCAGCCAAGAGCTCGAACTACCGACGCATTGAAATCCTGGCTCGACAACGCGCTAGTATCAAGGAAAGACTCGAAAAGATGCGTGAAAACAAGAAAGAGCTACGGCCAGAGAACCACAGCTTATGGTCCGAGTACATTGAGCTGCGTCATCTCTTTACTCAGCTTAGCGAGAACGTCGAGAAGTCGAAACAAGAGCATTATTTACCGGACTTTGAAGGGTATTCGCTGCGGTTCGGAAGTGACGGGATCTACGTCGGTGTTGGAGATGTCTGGATCCCTTCTTTTCTCGCAAAATTTTCCATTGAGACGAGATCGACCGCTCCTCATTTGTCGCTCCATATCTCGACCTCATCAGCTCATGGCCTTAAAATCCGAGTCACAAATTTTACACTAGCGACAGAGGGACGGCTCCCGAGCTTCCATTGTGACGAGCTGAACGTAGAAGCTCAACTCGTCGCCGACATTCCCCTTGTATTCGACTCCATCTCCGGGTGGACGGTTCCTCCGGAAGAGCTGGGCGTCAAGCTCATGAGCTTCGTATATTACGAGAGAGAAACCAACAGTACCAAGCGCGGCAAAGACCACGATACGATCATGAAAATGTTCATCAACCGGATGCTTCCATCCGTGGTGGGAGGCGCAGCTCAGCGATTATTCTGTGTCGAGCTTGGGCCACTCCTCCAACGTCGTGAAGCTCAGGTTGTCTTGTCAGGAGACATCAAGATCAGTGGACGAAAGCTGTCGGTGTATGACGCAGCACTGAACAACGCCAACACCAAAGAAAAGCAGGAAAGAGATCGAGATTTATCGGAGACAGCGCGGGAGATCATGGCTATCTCGGACGACGAAGCTGAAGTTCTGTACCTTATCTTCAAGACGTTTATTGATACCCACAGCAATAACAAGACGCTGTTTGGTAAGGCAGAGACCCCCAGACTGTGTATCCGCAACCTGATCAGCTACTTCGAGCAGTTCCACCAGACTCCTCACTTGAAGGCACTCGTGAGTGAATTGTGGAGTCGGAGCATTCATCTGCTGTCTTCATCGTCAACTTCACCGTCACGTAGAGATCCAGACGCGTCGTCGTTCTCGTCGATTATGAATACTATTGAGCAGATCAAGGAATATCCCGTGGACGTGTCAATTTCGCTCGTGGATGTTACGTTCCGTCTTGATTTATGCGAAGGAGCCGCGACGTACTACATGGCGTTGCAGCGTATCATTCGCAGAAGTATGGACACAAGTTCGGTTGGGATATCAAATCTGGCAGAGCTGAGGGATGGGACGTATCTGCAAAATAAGCTGGCCCGACTGGATGCTCGATACGAGAGAGCGACCAAGTTGTTGTCCTATATCACAACCAACGTCGACGTGCTGGGTGTGATTTTCCGTGGTGTGCTCCCAAGTGGGTTCATGAGTCGGCTGTTCGTAGAAGCTAGAGAGTTTTCTGGCAAAGGCCCGTGTTCCGGATCCGTGGTGATCCCGCTCACTCACTTAACGGCGTTGTCCTCACGTGATGGCGTAGAAATAAACACTCACAGTGTGAACGAACCTCCACCGTCTGTGTTGACCAGAACACATGAGAATGGCACGTTGGTGCTGTCGAAATTTTTGCTTGACTCGCTTCGGGACAATGAGTCGGGAGGTGGAGTTGAGTTGCCTGGTGATCGTTTGAAAGTTGCAGTGAAGAATCCGTCAGTGCGTGTTTTGTTTGAGGTTCCGACGGACGTATCGCAGCTGGAACCTGGGCAAACGCTCACGCCGTTTTCAGTGTCGGTGGTCACTGATGACCCCACCCAACCCCCTAAGCTGAAAGTCGAGACAGGAGACTTTGGCAAGTGCCAATACACAGCTGACTGCTTGACGTTGAGCGGGACAGTGTGGCAGTTTTTGCAGCGTACACAGGAAATGACGGATAGTGTCGTTGAGTCCGAAGGAGTGGACAACCCGACCACCGCTTCTAATGGAGTTTCTACCACTAGCGACGAAGAGGAGAACAGCATCTGGGACGAGTATTTGGAGTCTCCTTACTTCAGTCTTCGGTTCCATTTCTTCACATCGTGTCAAGTAACACGAGACCATATCTTCTTGAGCGTTGGTAGCGCTTCACTTACAGAGCCCAAGGTGGCACAGCTCAAGCACCGTGTCTGTCTGGGCCAGTTGCTGCAAGATCTTGACATGCTAAGTGTCGTCGATTCGAACGCTTCTAGGAGGAAAGACGGCGCGAGGTTCCAGCATGCATTGCATCAACGAGCTGTCGATGCAGAGCGACACGGTCGGTCCTCTGTGTCCAGTTACTCGCAGAGACAGACGCTGTTCTCGCAGTCGAGTTTCGACGAATTTGACGGTACCAGCGAACCAGCTTCGATGTATGAAACGGAGATCGACACCGACACTCCTCGACGGAATTATTATGGCGAGGCGGTCAGCAGTGCAGTGCCCAATGGATCAACTGAAGACGGTAAACAGCTACCACCGCCCATCCAACCAAACGTTCGCTCCGTAGATCGTCCTAACAAGGCTAATTTCTTTTGAGAAGTTTACTTTTTATTTTTTTTGCGAGGCTGATACTTATAATTCGGGTAGCTTATCAAGATGAGTAACGCATTTCAAAATACTACGCACACGTTAATACTAGCGAAACCTCGGGCATCACTTCGCAGCTCCTCGTGCCCCAGTATTATATGTAGCACGTAAATTTCCATGTTAAAGTGACTGATAATTCATGCGCAACGGGACTCAAATACAATTTTTTTAAAGCAAGGAGAGCCAAGCAGACTACGTGAATTTTAACATCATCAGTCACCACTCACATTTTCAGCGTGGCACTGGGCCCTTCTGAGAAGTTCGGCGGCAAAAGTGTAGGTCGCGTGTCATCATTGCGTATCAGATGCGTAGACACGTTTCTACCAATCATATCTCCTCATCTCAATTCTACGCGCGATGATTGACGGAAAGTCTTTGTCATGCCAATTCTCTACCTCCCCCATTCATACTGGCATCTAACCAGCAAGACGCTCTTCCTTCCTCATGCACAGCCAGCGGCGGCCCGCGCCCGAGTCGACGTACGCGTCACAGGCAGCCCGATGGAAGCAGGGCTTCAAGACTCCGGCGCAGCAACAGCCAGCGCAGCTCCAGACAGACCTCGAGAACGCTCTCGTCTCTGAGCTCTGCTCTTCTGCCGGCTCTTCGTCTTTTCCGCCGCGTGAGGTGCTGCAAAAGCTGCTACGCTACCTGCATACATTGGACCATGACGTGCGTGATATATCTCTGTATTAATACGAATTTCACTCTCTGAGCGGACACTGATTCTTTTATTGCAGTACATCTGTGAGCTGCTGGACGACAAGTTCGAGAGTCCATTGTGGCAGGTCAAGGCCAAGGCGCTGTCCGTACTCAACGCTCTGCTGAGTAGTGGAGAGGCAGAGTTCTACAAGCAATACTACAGTGGACGTCTGGACTTGCTGGAGGACCTGCGCAATGCCAGGAAGGACATGTTGCGCAAGCGTGCTGACAAAGTGTACGCGTTGCTGAAGGACTACGTGCCACCGGATGAGGAGACTCCATTAGAACTGATGCGAAGGATGCAGGAGGAAGAAGCTGAAGAGACTGAGGCTAGAGCCTCGCCAGAGATGAATATTTTGATGCACACGTCGCCCGTTGTAGCGTCCCAGCAGACGCCGCACGACTTGATGATGGACATGAACGACTCTCCACGCAGTAGCAGCGCGCCGCTCCCTAGTCCAGCAGCTCCCGACGGATCAGCATTCAACTTGTTAGCGCAGCAAACGCAACAGGACTACGCTCCAGCCCAGAGAGCAGCTGAGCCGATGACGCCTCCGGTCAGCAACTCAGGCTTTGGCTTCCTCTCTGCTAATGGCGGAGAAATGGACACATCACCGCAACTGACGATGCCAGCTCAGCCGACAGGTGGGTCAGCGTTCAGCTTTATCCCTCAGAATGCCAACCCAGAGCCCAGCGCACCGCCTCTGTCATCAGACTCGTCTAGTTTCGGCTTCATGAACCAGAACCCAACGGCAAACAGCATCCAAGCGATTGAACATGGCATTCCATCGTCGTTAACTGCTGAAACTTCGTCAGCTTTCCGGTTCATGGGCGGTCAACAGCCTCAGAAACAAAGCACAACGACAGCTGCTGCTCCGACCCAGCCAGCACGGGCAAGTGTGCTTCAACGTCGTCACACTGTGTTTGATACACTGCCGGAGCCGACGATGCTGCAGCCTACGCAGATGATTGAGCCGGAGAAAGAAGAGAAAGTAGAAGAACTGGAGATATCAGACCCGATCCACGATGCTTTTGAAGGATTGGACGCGAATGATGGCACCCAAGCATTGGAGTCTTTTGATGCATACAAACCGTCATCTGACGCAGTGCATGGAGGGTATGAAGACGCTTCAGAACTTACACAACCTACGGAGCCGCTGCGTGAAGTGATACTGGAAATTGATGTGCCCCCAGGACCCATGGGTGTCATGCTGGACCGGACAATTACCGACATGACTGTGATTGAACGCTTCGTGCCTTTGCCGACTGGTGGACGTGGATATCTCGAGCTACATCCAGCTATTTGTCCTGGCTGCGCTTTGATTAGTATTAACTCCATCTACGTGGAGAACAAGGGGCTAGTGGAGGTGGGCCCCATCTTAGGATCTCTAACCAACGCACCCAAGTTACTGCGGTTCAAGAAGCTGATGACACAAGGCCGGACTGCGAACCCCTCGACGCTTCAAGTGCCATACATCCCTCCTCCTTTGGAAGAAGAGGAAGACAGTGCTACAGAAGAGAAGAGCACGGGGGAGGATCAAGTCCAACCCGAATCGGAAGATATTTACACACCCGGAAGCTCCAGTGGCGAGGCGTTCATGACTCGTTTGAACGGATATAGCAGCAGCTTGGTTGAAATAGAGGCCAAGCTGAAAGAAATCATCCGTCGCGAGCACGGCGGACAGCCCGTTGCGGACCGGCGCAACCAACTTGCACAACTTCACGGCACAGTGGAGAAAATCCAGACACAAGGCATCGACTCGGTCATTTTCGAAGATCACCGCCCGCCAAACTACGAGGAAGTCAAGCAGTTCCGCTCGACTCTCGTGCGTAGAGCTGACGATCTGGCTCGACTCATCCAGAGTACTGCGAGTTCAGACCCTACTCCTTTGTACAGCAGCGTGGCAGCGTCTGACGAGGAGAAACACCCCGTCTCAGCGTTTGCGTTTGTTGGAGGAGACTCGAATAGCACAGTGAATGACCCGCCATTGGGAATCTCCCAGCTACAAGACGACTCGGGTTTTCAGTTTCTGAACGCCAATGCGAACCCACAAGTGGCGGATGTTCATGGTGGGAACGTTCTGGTACCGTTAGCACCGGTACAGGCTGACAACTCGTATGGCTTCAGTTTCCTTCGTGACAATGCACAACAGCCTGCAGCTGCTGCCCCAATCATCGTCAGGCAGTCGTCAGATAGCGCAGCACCGGCAGTGGAGATGGCTACAAACGTGTTTGCAGGACTGAGCTTAAAGGAGAGTACCGGTACCCCGCAACAGCCAATGTTTGCTGGCCTCAGGGTGAAGGATGACACGCAGCAGCAGCCGCCTAGACCGCCACCTGCACTATACGACACATTAACGAAGAGCAGTCATGGTCGACCAATGGGTCTCAGCGATCTGGAGGCCTCGTTGCGGTCGACGGCATCAGGTCGGCCACCAATGGCATCTCAGTCGACCGATCAAGCCCCGACAATTACTGAGTCCACCCGGTCATCGTTCGGGTTTATGTCCACTATCAACGCGGCGGAGTTCGACAATAGCGCGACGAGTACGCAGCCGACGTCACCTACCGCATTTGGCTTTATGCGGGGCAGCAATTCGTCGTCCACGACACCGACTGTGGCCTCGTCGTCTGTTTCGCAGTCGCAGTCCCAGCGCAGCGTGCTGCTGGAACCCGAACCATCCATGTTCTCTTTCATCTCGAACTGACCGGGAGTAGTAAGACAAGAAAGATAAACAGTGCCTGTAGTGAAGAAATGCAAGTGAGCGTTTAGAGTGTGCGGTGTACATGTATACATGAAATGGCTACACTTGTATACGTGAAATGGCTAACAGCTACTTCGTATTAAATACACGTACTTGAGTAAGTTTACCGAAACAAAATGAATATGATTGGACAAAATAAAAATTGTCTTTTTGTCTAATCAATAGCGCTCAAGGTTTTTGATCCCAAACAAACCCGCGCCCAATCGTCCCCATAGTCGTCATGGAGTCGGCGGAGCGCACGTTCAAGGGTCTGTCGGACGCCAAGACGCGCGTGGACCAGGCTACACAGGAAGACGCGTCATTTCCCGATTTGGCCGACCAGCTGAACGCTCAGTCCGAGCCGCAGAACTATTTCTTCGAGCCGTACGCGTCACAATGGACCCCACAGGTGGCCAAGAAGGGCTCCGTGATCCCTCTGCCGGGTGTGGTGGCCGCCGCTCTGGACGATACGAAGACACTGTCGCTGTCCGGCCTGCTGCCGGAGATCCGCTCGGCCTGGACGTCCGTGGACAACCGCCTCTTCCTTTGGAGCTACGCGCAGCGCGGCCGCTTCGCCGCCAAGGAGTTTGACCAGGCCATCGTGGCCGTGGGGCTCGTGGCCCGGCCAGCCACCGGAGTGTTTACCCCCAAGGTCCGCCACGTGCTCGTGGTGGCCACTACCGTGGAAGTGGTGCTTCTGGCCGTCGTGGCCCGACGATAACCAGCCCGAGTCCATGAGCTTCAAGCTGCAGAGTACAAAGCTCAGTGTCAGTACGGACAAGTGTGTGGTCCGCAAGGTTGCGACTACGCGCAGTGGCCGTATCTTCTTCGGAGGCTCGGACGGCGCACTGTATGAGTTCCTATACGCACCGGAGCAGAAGGCCGCGGCCGACCGCAACTCGCTGCTCGGATCGGCGCTGACGAATGTCCCCGGAGTTGGATCGTGGGATTGCTGCAGGAAAGTGATCCACACGTTCAGCTACGCGCAGTATCTGCCTCGATTCCTGGCCGGCCTGGCCAGTGCGCCTGGCAAAGTGGTGGACATGTGTGTGGACCACTCGCGACACATTCTCTACGTGCTGCACGACGACGCCCAAGTGAGCGTGTTTGACCTTGGGGCCAATGGAGACGAGATCAAGGCCGTCTGCGCCGTGAACCTGCTGGCCGACGGGGCCAAGTACGCGCGTGAGAACCGCCGGACGCGCGTTTCCTGTCCAGATGAGAGACTGTTCCAACCGGCCGTGGCCGGATCGCCCAATCCTTTGAAGATTGTCGCATTGTCTTCAGTGGCGCCGGATGAGTCCAAGGTGGTGACGCTGGTGGCCGTCACGTCCAACGGTATCCGCTTCTACTTGACAGCTTTTTCTCGACGATACACGTACTCAGGAGCTGGCAATTACGGCCGAGCCAAACGTCCATCGAGACTTGAGATTCTCCACATCCGTCTGCCTCCTCCGGCGATCTCACTGCGCGATGCACCGCCCTATCACGCCAAGGAAGGAATGCAGCCAGGTTACGCGCCGGGCAAGAGCCCAAGCGCAGTACATGTCGCGTTCCATCGAAAGGGTGTCTTCTTGTGCATTGAAGGACGACGAGACCAGCAGGACCAACTTGTGGGCGTTGCACACGACCCTATTAGCACCACAGCACTACCGCTACAGACAGGCTTAGCAGCTAGGAAGCCTACGATCCGCGAAGCTGTCTCCTTAGACACCTGCATCGGAAAGGTGGTAGATATTCAAGAACTGGATCCGTATTCGAGCGAAGGCCCCGAGAGTTCGTGGATAGCGCAGGCTGAGGCAATCGCAGCTGCTAATGCCAGTACAAAGGGCGCTAGTAGTGGTAGCAAGCGTTCATTCGACGAAATGAGTACTGGAATCCCTGCTGGAAGTGCGTCAGAGAACGCGCCTGTCGTCGGAGAGATGGCGCTCATGTACTCGCAACCTTCGCGACACTTTTTGTGTCTGACGAACGCTGGTATACAGGTGTTTAAGAAGATCCGGCCTCTAGACCAGCTTCACCGTGTGTTGTTGCTGTCCCGTGGCCATGAACAGATGGCAGTGTTGGCGCCATTTGTTCGTTGCTTCGGTGAGATTCAGGTGGTGTGTATGCTCATCGCCCTGGCCTGTGGAGTTCCCACTGATCCTCTAGTAAGCGAGACGTCCACGGCCGCTTCGTTGGTCGCGCCGCGTCCTGGCGGTTTGGCCCGTATGAAGAGTGATGATTATATCTACACGGCCGCTGTGCAGGGTATCTTCGAGATCGCTCAAGGCCCTCCTGACAACGTGGCCGTGGAGCCTACTTCCTCTACTTCCAACGGGACTTCAACGTCTTCGAGCACGCGTATCGTGCTGACTACGGAGTTCGGCATGTCGTACCAGCACGATGGCCTGGTCGCGTTCGCGTGTCGTGTGCTGCGTCCGCTCTGGACTTCCAAGACACTCGGCCGACGTGTGGTGTCCCGTGCCGTCAACTCAAAGCCGTCGGCTAAGTCTCCTGGATTTGCGACGAGCTTCGAGAATGTTCATTCTACGGAAAAACTGGACGAGATCCGCGAGATTCTCTTCCAGCTACGTCAATTGATGGAGAGCGCTGGCCCCTTCGCCGTGTCCATTAGTGGTGGCGCGGCACTAGAGAACAACCCGAGCTTGGACGGCGTGTTAGGTGAGAGTACGGAGGCCGGTCTCTCTCGTGTGTCGGAGCTCGTGATGCGGCACCAAAAATCACTGAGTGAAGATCAACTTAAACGTGAGACGCGGTTCAAGGCCGAGCAGCGATCTCTGTACTATCTGTACCAGCTGGTGCTGCGTAGTATTGAGGCCATCTCGTTGCTGCGGATTGCTCAGGAGTACAAGGTCTCCTTGGAGGAACCTCTAGCCCGTCTCAGCTTCAGCGACTTGGTGACAACGACGGACGGCGCGCTAGCCGCCAAGACCATGACGAAGGCTCTGATGCGTGGCCGGAACGAGAACAACCAGTTTCTGATCAAGCAGCTGCGCGAACAGTGCCCCACGTTCTTCTCCGTGTCGGATCTGTGGCATTATCAAGGATACCGGAGCTTGTCGAACGCCAAACTCAGCGGCTCTCCTGTTGCACGTAAGAATTTCTTGAAGGAATCTCTGGGTCAGTTCTTGAACTCGTGCCACATGTGGGATACCGAGGACTGTCTGGATGTCCTCCAGGGCATCTGTGAAGACTACACGCTGCTCAACTACTACGAAGGCGTCGTGAAGCTCTCTCTGGCCTGCGCTAAGCACTTCCACGACGCAGCAGCGTCGGATCTCAGCGGTGTTAAACAGACCTGGAAGAGACGATGCTTTGGCTGCATCTTGCTGGCTCTACACAAACTTCTGGGCGGAGAGACAGCGAGCGCGAGTCCTCAAGCTGTTGAGGAGATGGTGACTCTGGACGATGAGACGAAGAACAAGTGCGTGGAAGAACTCTTCCACTTTGCGTTGGCTTCGGAAGACGACAGCTTCCACAACTTGCTGTACACGTGGCTCTATGAACGTGGCCACTCTCATCTGCTGACGTCTATCCGCTCTCCGTACATTGAAGTGTTTTTGAAGGAGAAAGACCAAGATCTGCTCGTCAAGCTCTACATGGATCAGCACAAGTATCTCGTGGCGGCCAAAGTGTGGTGGGCACGTGCACACGAGGACTCTATGGATGACGAGTACGCGTCGTCGTCGGCTCTTGTGGTGGCGAGCAACCCGGATATTACCAAGCGGCAGTACTACGTGTCCAAGGCGCTGAGTTGTCTCAAGAGTCTGGAAGACGTGGGCGAGGCGTCAGAGGCCATTAAAGAAGTACGCGACGTGCTGGATGTGCTGCAGCTGCAGGTTCGTGTCCTCAAGGCGCTGGAGCAGCAGGTTGTCGAGCTGGAAGTGTCTCGCTCTTCAGATGAACAGCTACGACAACGCAAGACAGACTTGCAGCTGCTGACGTTCAAGCTGTTCGACGCCTCCACCCTGTACAACCGGTTCGCGTCCAAGTACGACATGTGGACCGAGTGTCTGCACATTATCCACGTGTGCAAGTCGGAAGAAGCGGACGTGATTGCGACTCTGTGGCGGAAGATCGTCTTCAGTCTCTTGCCTCAATCCTCCAACAACGCAGCGTTCAATGCGTGGCGATTGGATCAATGCGAGAAGGCTGGCTTGCTGGCCACCTCGAGCGGGACTGGAGGCGGTTCCTCGTTCGAGAGCGGCAACTGGATTGGCCAGATGCAGTGCAAGTTCTTGAGACTGGGCAAATCGCTGTACTTGGAAGGCGACGACCGACACGGCGGCTCGACTGGTGTGGGAGAGTTTGTCTTCCCTGTGGGCTTCCTGGCCGACGTGCTCGAGTGGATCTCTCTGTGGTATATTCGATCATCGGGTATGGGCGCGTTCGCTGGAAGTGTCGCGTCGGCTGCTGCGATTGACGCTACGACGTTCAATTGGGTGCTCAAGCTCTTCCTGGACGTCGGTGTGCCCCACCGAGTACTGCTCAGCTACTACGAACAGCTCTATCGTGAACAACCGGAACGCCTTTACCGGGAAGGCTGGACGCTGCACTTGCTACAGTCGATGCTGGCCATTATTACTATCTGGAAGAAACACGCCATCTCTCCTCGTGCCGGGAAGGACCAACTCGCAGAGTTCGCGGCCTGTTGCCCGAACTTAGTCGACCTCTGCGATGGATTTATCACGGATCTACGCGCCACATCACAGAGTACGTACACTGTCTTCGTAAGTTTTTTTTTATTCTAGGCTGACGGTATTTTATTTTTATTTTTTAGATGGAAACGGAGAGGCATCGACGTTGCTGGAGCAATTCCGTCGGGTGAAGAGCGAACTGTTGAACTTCCGAACCCTCATGTAGGAAACTCGAATCTAAAGACCAGACACGATAAAACAAAACACCCAAGATGTGTGACGTAGGACACCACGACCAAGGTGAACGAATAAATTACACGTTTTGTCTCCATGCTATTCAGTGTATTTTACGGCACAACTCGATATCTTACGAGAATTTCTGCAGGGATAAGGCAATGCGTACCGACCCCGCAGCTACAAAGTCTCGACTGTGTGGTGACGAGCTGCCGTCGTGCTCGCTGCTTACGCTGTTGCTGCGGTGTTTCTTGCCGACTCCGACAGATAAAGCCGAGTGTTTGACCATCGTCCCAAGGCCCTTAATGGGACGGTAAACTACGCCAGCGACGCCAGTGCCGACGCCTTTAGCGAAGCCTTCAAGTCCGTTCTCTCGAGCTCCTTTGATCGGGTCTTTGAACACTCCAGTGATACCGCGATAGATTCCCTTCGTGACACCTTCAGCGCCTGCCACCATGTGCTCACTGAAGTTGGTAGCCCAGTCTCGAGGCATAATGGCAGGATACCAATCTTCATAGGGACCATCCGAGTCCCCAGCGTCAGGTAGAGACGAGAGCTGCTCAGCGCTAATAGCGAAGGCTCCCATGGGTCGATCTGCGTTGACTTTGTTGTAGTCGTACAACTCGATCTCCAGAGGAGAAGTACCGTCCCACGAGAGCAAAAGTTGCTGGTTCCATTGAGGATTGACACTGTTGTCCACGCGTTTACTACTGATACTTTGTTCACCTAAGCGGAAGGTGACGTACGGGTCTGATTTGCCACTGATGTTCATGCCAGCAAGCTCCTTGGCTTCTTTGAGGTCAATCACTACCACTCCAGTGTACTCGACCATTCCTTGGGTTGTAGCTGTAGATTTGGTGGGACTACGTCTGGAGGGAGACTTGGGAGGGGAATTGGCCACACCTCCAGAGAACAGTTTCTCTTCATATTTGGCTCGGATGAAGAGTTCGCGCTCAGCTCGTGGCGTCTGTGCTTCGGGTTTCTTGGGCGTTAGGTCGTTGAGTTTAAGTTGTAGAGGGAGAGTACGTTCGAGTAGTTTGTTGAGTTTAACGTTGCCACCTTTGTCCATTGCGTCGACCTGTTCATCTGTCCACTTGTCGAGCATGACGCTGAGTACGAATGACACGTGAACACCCAGAGATCGATGAACGCCTGCGCATTGAGTGCAGATGAAGCCTCCATGTGTCACTGTGGCCCATCTGATGCGAAAGTATCAGTTAAAAACTCCAAGGAATCGGGAACGAGGAGCCTCGAAACGTACTTCGGCGTGGCAGCACCGCAGTCCGCGCACTGATCATTCTCGGGTCGTCGAAGCACAGCGAACAGTCGAGACTTGATCGCTTCTTGCTGCGCGTCGGAGCTCCCGGGGGAAGCCATTCTTGATCCTTTCACAAAGATTTCGTTCTCAGAGCAGAGACAAGACTGAAGGGGTCATCGTATTTTGTTACCTGGCTCCTAAATGTGTAATCCTACCGTAGTAGGTGACCAACAGCTTACGCTACTGGCACGACACGCTGTTGCTGCAGCCGTCGCGCTTAGTGTTAATTCAGAATCCGTTTCTTTTCTATTTGTTGTTAATGGCGTCGATCTGAATTGCGAGGAGACACATTCGCTCAAAGTCTTGATAAGTCACCTGATAACACCATTTAGCTTAGCGTGCCTTTGTTTAATAGACATAAGCCACCGGAAAGCGACGCACCCGTCCGTCGCCGTCACGATCCGCTTCATGGAAAGCACGTAGCATCGTTTCGTGGTTCGTGAGAGGCAGCGCAATCTCGCACGCCTAGCAGAAAACACAGTGAGCAGATCGCTTTTTACTAAAGAAAATAATTGTAAGCCGACCTGCTGGAAGCTGCGTAGCGAGATGAATCCTTCGGCTCTCAAGTCGAGCGCCTTAAAGAGTCTCCTGACGTCCTCCAGCAAGTCCGTTCTGGCCACTCTCGTCTTCATCACCGACACAAACTCGCTCTGCGTGACGCGGAGCTCGTGACTCGGAGCCTCGCATCCTCGGAACATTTGCGTCAGCAGCAGCTTCATATTTTGCATTTAGTTCTTTACGCTCGATACTTGCACCAAATTGTTTCCCACTTTAGACGGCCGGACGCCAAGCGCTGCTGCCACGCCACACTTGAGATCGTGCTCCGCCAAGAATCCTAGATATTGACAAATAGAGAACTAGAAGTAGTAAATATGCAACCAAACCAAACCACAACTGCGACTGCGGCGTACGGTCTTTCACCTTTGTCATCGCGATCAGCCCAAGCGAAGCACTTGGACAAGAATACCTCGCTCTGCATACCGGTATCAGTTGAAGGTGTGGGAATATGTGATTATTATTTTTAATATTAGATTACACTTTTTAGTCTAATTTTATCTTTTTACTTGTTTTTTATGAAACTAATACCGCTATGTTCTCAGGATATTAATCCAGAGTTGTTATGGCAATCTGACTGGAGGTCAAATTTTTAAATGATAGCACACGGAAACATAATATTATATCACAATATACTGCAATCATTACAAGACGAAATGCTATGTCGCGTGTGCCTCAATACACCTCAATACACATTAAAAGAGTGTTGGTCCATACTTGCTCCCAGGCACTCATCTGTCACTATTCTAGTTTCGTTTTCTTCCCTTCCCCCAAGCTCCCACGAAACTAACAAGAAAGAAGTGGAAGGGATGCTTCGGCGTAGTCAACAGCTTCAAGTCCAAAAGGATCACGCTCGCAAGTGCACGACAGTTGACGAGCTGCGCATTATTGCGACCAATCCGATTGAGGACCCAGGTTGAGCCATCATGCGCCTTTATGGCAAAGCACCATTTGCACGAGGAGTGCACCTAACGGTGTTCGATGGGATGCTTCGGCGTATTCAACAGCTTCAAGTCTAAGAGGATCACGCTCGCAAGTGCACGACAGCTGACGAGCTACGCGTTATTGCGACCAATCCGATTGAGGACCCAGGTTGAGCCATCATGCGCCTTTATGGCAAAGCACCATTTGCACGAGGAGTGCACCTAACGGTGTTCGATGACTGCAGCAGAGATGAGTTTGTGCAATCTAGCAAAGGACTTCAAGGTTTGATGCATGCTGACCAGCAAAGCTTGAGTGACGGTGTGGGGCGCTGATGTGACCGATTCCAAGTTTGTGGTTGGTTCGAAGCTTTGCCTTCGTGACGTTCGTGACATCTGCTTCTGGAACGAAATCTTGGTTGGTGTCTGCCACAACGAGGATATTGACCGCCTGCAGGACTAAGAGACCAACGTTTGGAAGGCAATGAGGACAAGCATTTGCATCGCTCCACTTGCTAGTGGTCTGCAAACTGAGCTATGCCGGTAAGTGACGTTTATTGTTATCACGTGCACACCAAAGGTTATAACGATGCTAATAGCAAGTCGATAGAGGTAAGCACGCAAATGAAACGAAGTAAGAACAGCCAGCCGCCGGTTGATATTCATTTCATCGAAATCCCAAACTGACTACGAAACGTCTGAAATGGCGGCTTAGTAGAGTCATAAAAAAATTCAGTTATATGCTAGGATAATTATCTTGCGCTGCCTCAAGGCTTTCCAGGCGTTGCGTTTCCGCCATTGCAGCAGAATTGGGAGTATAATATTTTAACTTCTCGAGTGATAACGGTTCCATCATATAGAGCTGGCGGAGAGATGTCACTCTTGTTGTTGCAACATAAAATGAGGATCGCTGTGGGGAACGTCGGGTACAATGCTTAACGCCAAAAATCCATGTAGTATCAAATGTTGAAATCGTAACGCCATCATGCTTATAATCGTGCACACGCTTCAAGGTTTCAACTACTTGAATAACAAAGCAATGCGTGACACGTTTGGAATCGAAGGCAGCACAGATATAAACACCATTTTCCAGCGTTAGGGCTACTAGTTGTGACCCAGCGACGTGGCCATTCACCCCAGACATTATACTCTTATCGAGAATGGGCAAACTGAGTCTCTGCTCGGGTATCAAACACTTCTCATTTGCAAACTTGATAAAGTACCGAAGCTCCCCATTTTAGATCCCCTTCTCAGAAAGTGGACGACCTCGCCCCTCACAATGCTCGCGGAAAGACGCAACCGTAGTATCGGTACACCAATCAGCACTTCCGATTAAGTTAGAGGCGACTCGGATGCCATAGAAAGCACAATCCTTACGAGGAGAGGCTCCAATTCGACTAGCTTGTCCATTTGTTTTACAATATTTAAAAAAGCAAGGTGTACGAGACTGTTTCCAAGTATCCACAATATCACAAGCATCATCAAATCCATCGGCACGCAACGACTGCCCAGGCTCCCACGAGTCCGGCCATCGAAAACCATTAGACGCATCCCGCCACTGAACTCTGTAAAGATAGTTATATCCATCCCAAATGCGATCAATAATACCAAATACTACTCCAATTCCAGAATCATGCGGTTTAGTTGGCTGTTGCAAAGCCAAAGGAATTTAAGCATGATGTACTCTGTCCCAGTACTTTTCGATAAAACCTGTCGAGAGGCAATACTGCAGTTCATACTTGAGTCGATTCCGTCAGTATCAACATGGTTGACTCGAACTACAAGCGATAGTTTAGTCGGTTTAGTTCCAATACGACGAGTGTGGTGAAGTGCTTTCTCAGAAATAAGAGAATGGGCCTGACGCGGGGTCACTATCCCGAATCAGTGACAATTTCAAGTGATTAGAGAGGATTTGGGTTGGTGGCACGGATGCAAGTTGCCTGTGGTGGATTAGCCATGACGAGCGGCACCCCGTATGGAATGACGATGGATCTAGTATGAGCGATGTACGGGAAGACAAGATCCACCAAGACTTATCTCGGATCCACCCTTACCTGGATTCACTTAGGTGGATATGGGATACACTATGTACCAGTGGATCGAGTGGGGATCCTATGAAGGAATGGTGGTAGGTGTCATCCGAAGGTGGATCTAATAGCCACGGCTAACGAGGAGTCAAGATCCACCGCGAGGTACCCCGGATCCCATACCTCCGAGTTCAGATCCATGGAGGAAGGATCCCGCCTTGAGGGACCTGGATCCAGGGTATAGGGATGATGGATGCAGTGAATCTCGAGCTTTCGTGGGACCAGGGAGATCACAGAAGGTTGCAAGATGATGTTGGATAATTGGAGAGCTCGGATCCACGGCGAGTGTACAATTACAGCGAGGTGGATCCAAGCGACCTAGATCCGGATGAGTGTACCCATAACAGGGTGACCATGATGATTACGTCATATATCCGGTGGATCTGCAGATAACACAGCTGGGATGATGGGTCAAGGAAAGAAGGGACATGCAGCCGAGCCCGGTAAGGGATTTAGCAGATGAAAGACATAGAAGGTAGAAATCCAGGCAGGTATAGGCTTAAATATCAATACAGACCTCAATTTGCACAGTATCACGCAAGTGCCTTCCTGCCCTCAAGAACCGGAGCTACATTGGCCGTACGAGCTCGGAGAAGGTTGGGAATTGCGAATCTAGTGTTGGTAGTGATAACTAGATAATACATTGGCCAGATCCTACAACCTAGTGAGCTTTTCCTTTACTTGTGCAGATCCGACAGGCTAGCCGAATTTACTACTTGGTCGGTTACACCCTAGAGGCTCCCAACTTTCAAGATCCCGTCACAGGAGGCGGCAAGTACGACGCAAAGGAACTACAAAGGCAAGGGAACACACCCGTAAGGCAACCCTACGGCCAGATCCACGATCTAGGCCCCGGATCCATAAGCTCGAATATTCGCTTAGGATTCGGAACAATCCACGGACGCAGAGTGAAGATTTTCCACTGCTGCTCCACCCCATTTCCACGTCTCGCCAAGACACTCAAGCTTCACCACTTGAACTCTTCGGAAGTTACCGAGAGAGCAAGATCCCGCCCTACCGACGGGTACACAAGGTGAGGAAAGTTCAGCAGAACACGGATCATCGGGGGACCCCCTCCGTTAGTCGGTGTCTGGGCGCAGTTGGTAAGTTGGATCTGGCAATCTCGCAGATTTTGCTGATCCCGCTACACCACAATGGTGCGCGTGCCCGGATCTTTTGGTGACTCGGGATTTCACCGTGAGTCCCAAGAAGATGCTCAAGTGAAGATTGAGCCAGGGGAAGAGGCGTCGTCGGAAGTCGGATCGACGAAGACGCTGCTGAATGAAACAAGATCCGCGGATCGATGGAGTTTTGGGAGGAACTCTGTCGACGGAAGAGAGGTGATCCGGATCCGGATCTAGAAGAAAAACCTCTCTATCCTCCCCCAGGTCCCCTCGGGGACCCCTGCGGATCTTGACGCAAGTCAAGATCCGCTAACAAAACAAGGAAAAGTGAAGGCGAAACGGTATGCATTTGCAGATTCACCGGTTAAGCCAACACTGTACCTAAACCCAACCCCGCTAGTCGAAGAAACGAGAAAGAAGACGAAAACGAGTAAGACTACGCGGAAGAAGATGCAAGTTCCAGAGTCGGAAGAAGACCAAGCTGGATCCAGGTCAAGCTGGTCAGACAAGGATCTCGAGTTTGTGTATCGCCACCAAGCTTTACGCGACTTCCTGCATCAAGATCCTGTCATGCAGATCCTGAATCCACGACAGATCGACGATCCAAGGGAACCAGTAAGAGCACCAACGAAAACGGCGAACAAGTTGGTGGCAGTCAAAGATCTATTACGTTTGCTTACGGAGTCAGGCATCGTAGCTGGTGTGTTCGACGCAGAGGATATCTTCGAGCTAGACCTGGATCTCATAGTATCCGCGACGCGGGACCTCTTTGCCAGAGTTAAGTCCATCACCGGAGAAAGGTCGCGCACTATGGATCCAGTGTCGTCACCGAGGATCAGCCAAGCTGCGTCCTCTAACTACGAATCCGCGGCGGAAGATGGCTCCGACACGTCGTCCGAGCCCCGACGCATGATTTTAGGACCCTCCGGGGCATCCATGCTGGAAGCGCGGGCGAGGAGCCGAGGACAGGAAGTCCCTGTGAGCGCGAAGGCTCGGGATCCAGTAGGCCCCACGCGTGATCTGACACAATCCAGCCACGATCGAGCCAGATCCGACAAGAAGCCAGTGGGATTATCGTCAGATCGAGCTCAAGGTAATCGCCTCACGGATCCGGTCTCGCCAGTGGATCAGACGGCCACAGGCTCTTCTGACACTTCCTCGGGCACCCTGCAGCGACACTTCGAAGCTGCGATGTCGTTTCCTGGCCGAACAGGGTATGAGAGCGCCCGGGCCACAAGTGCAAGTGCTCCACGAACATGGAGCACGAGACGTGAAGATGGAGTCCGTGGAGG